ACAGCACTGAGACTGCTCTCGTCAAGGTTACAAACGATATCCGGCTAAACACTGACGCAGGCAAAGTCTCAATCCTAATCCTGTTAGATCTGAGTGCTGCCTTTGACACTGTCGACCATGAGATCCTCTCACAGAGACTAGAGGACTGGGTTGGCGTCGCTGGCACCGCCCTAAGTTGGTTTAGGTCTTACCTTGAAGACAGGAAGTACTTTGTGGAGATTGGAAACTGTGTCTCAGATCATATGGCCCTGACTTGTGGAGTACCACAGGGGTCGATCCTGGGACCTCTTCTGTTCAATCTCTACATGCTGCCGTTAGGTCAGTTAATACGCAGAAACGAAGTTTCCTATCATAACTATGCAGACGACACTCAGATCTATGTCTCACTGACTGCAGGAGAACATGGACCAGTGGACTCACTCCTTCACTGTATCCAACAGATCAGTGGGTGGATGCAAAACAACTTCCTTCAGCTAAACGCAGACAAAACTGAAATGATTGTCTTTGGTCCCCAGAAACAAAGAGAGAGCGTCATCTGTCATCTACAGTCTCTCTCCCTAAAACCTTCAAACAAGGTCAGAAATCTAGGGGTAATACTGGACTCAGACTTAAATTTTAATAGCCACATCAAATCAGTAACATCAGCAGCTTTTTACCATCTAAAAAACATTTCCAGGATCAAAAACATAGTGTCTAAAGCAGACTTGGAGATTCTTATCCATGCATTTGTCTCCAGTAGGTTAGACTACTGCAATGGCCTGCTCACAGGTCTGTCCAAACAGGCTGTAAAACAGCTGCAGTACATTCAAAATGCAGCAGCTCGAGTCCTGACTAGAACCAGGAAGTACGACCATATTAGTCCGGTCCTCAATACAATACAATACAATACAATTTATTCTTGTATAGCCCTAGGTCACAACAGAAGTCATCTCAGAGGACTTAACAAAACCATTGAAATCACCAACACAGGTCAGAGAATCAACAGTTAAAACACATGAAGAATATAAAGCACACACACAGAAGAAAATGTCCATACATGTTGTAGAATGCTAAAGTGTCCTGATCATCACCAATCCTTTCTGTTGGACACTAACTGTCCAACAAGACCCTCCTGCATCGACAAGGAAAAACTCTTAAAAAACCCAGTGGGAAAAAGTGAGAAACCTTGGAGGAGAACTAGGGAAACCCACAGGGAGGGAGACCCATATGAGAAAGGGATCCGCTCCTCCGGACGGACAGGCTAATGATCTAGGACCTAAGCTAGCTACAGAACGTGGACCAGTGGACGCTGAACGTGGACAGGTCCGGTGCAGGACTGAAGCACTCCCAGGCGGGTCGGGCGGGGCAGTCCGCAGGTGTAGATGGAGGAGGCCAGGCTCAGAGATCCCGTCATCGTACCATGAAACAGACAATGGGACAACGGGTGAATAGCAATGAACAAACTACAGTCAGAATCCTAAAAATGCTAAACAGATAAAGTAGGAAGGAGGAGAGGATAGTGCTCAAGTTACCATACTTCTCCCAGCAAACTGACTCCCTATGCAGCTTGACTAACACTCTGAGGAGTTTAACCTTCTCAGAGTCTTACCTTCCTAGCCATATGCTAAACTAAAGAGGACTGTTTTAAACCTAGCCTTGAATAAAGAATAACATACAGCATAATATATAACATAATATACAACATAACACAATACATTATTGAATAATATATAACATAATATATAACATAATACAGCATATATATATATATAATATATACACTACATATTATATATTACCTAATTATATGCTAAATTAAAGTAAAGTGCTTTAAGCCTGGCCTTGAATGTGGAGACCGTATCTGCTTCCTTAACATAAATGGGAAGCTGATTCCACAGTAAAGGAGCTTGGTAGCTAAATGCTCTGCCACCAACAGTGACCTTTGAGACCTTAGGGACCACCAGACGTCTGGCGTTTTGTGAGCGCAACGCTCGACCTGGTTGATACGACACTAACGTGTCTTGGAGATAAGAAGGAGCCAAGCCATTTATGGCTTTATATGTTAAGAGTAGGATTTTAAACTTTATTCTGTACTCCACAGGGAGCCAGTGGAGTGATTTTAACACCGGAGTTATGTGCTCCCTCCTTTTGGTACCTGTTAAGATCCTAGCTGCTGTATTCTGAACGAGCTGGAAGCTCTTCAAAGAGGCTTTAGGGCACGCTGCCAGTAAAGCGTTACAGTAGTCGAGCCTTGAGGTGACAAACGCGTGAATGAGTTTTTCCGCGTCACTTTTAGGAAGGAAATTCCTAATTTTAGCGATGTTCCGTAAGTGGAAGTACGCCGTTTTAGTTGCTTGGCTTATATAAGCCTTGAAGGAGAGTTCTTGGTCAAAAATGACTCCAAGATTCCTCACAGTGTTACTGGGTATTATACTGACATTATCGAGAGTAACCATCTGGTTAGTGAGAGGGGAGTCACGCAGGCGCTTCGGACCGAGTAGGATCACTTCTGTCTTCTCCGGGTTGAGAAGTAGGAAGTTAAGAGTCATCCACATTTTAAGGTCCTTTATGCAGGCACTGAGCTTTTCTAGCTGATCTGTCTGGTTAGGCTTCATCGACAGATAAAGCTGTGTGTCATCTGCATAGCAGTGGAAATTAATTCCATGCTTTTTAATAATGTTTCCCAGTGGCAGCATGTAGAGAGTAAAAAGAATCGGTCCGAGTACCGAACCCTGCGGCACACCGAATTCCACTCCAGAATAAGGCGACGAGTCCTGATTCACATTGACGAAGTGATATCGATCTGATAAATAGGATTTAAACCAGCCAAGGGCTGTTCCTCTAAGACCTATATCACATTCTAGCCTCTGCAGTAGAATGCTGTGGTCTATTGTGTCAAATGCAGCACTAAGGTCCAGTAGGACCAGCACTGACACTTGTCCATTATCGGCAGCTAGTAGTAAGTCATTTGTGACTTTGACTAGTGCCGTTTCAGTGCTATGATGAGCTCTGAATCCTGATTGAAAGACTTCAAACATATCATTTTCCTGCAGGTGGCAGCGGAGCTGCTCAGCTATAAGTTTTTCCAGGATTTTAGATATAAAAGTGAGGTTTGAGATCGGTCTGTAGTTTGTAAGTATTTCTGGGTCCAGGTTTGTTTTCTTCAGAAGGGGTTTGATTACCGCGGTTTTAAAAGCTTGTGGGACATAGCCACATTGTATGGATGCGTTTATTATATTTACGATAGGCTCAATTATCAAAGGAAGTATGTCTTTGAAGAGCCATGTCGGGACTGCGTCTAACATGCAAGTTGAGGCTTTTGAGGATGTGACCACAGAGATCACCTCTGCTTGGCTCACAGCCATGAATTTATTAAGGCCCACTGAAGAGTCTAAGTGGGAAGTCGCGTATGCCGCTTCAACCTGTCCACCACTAACAGCAGGAGCAACCTCCTCCAGCTTGTCACGGATGGATGTAATTTTATTATTAAAGAAGTGGAGAAAGTCGACACTGCTCAGTGAGCTTGGAATTTTAGGCTCGATTGCGCTATGGCAGTTTGTGAGTTTAGCGACGGTGCCAAACAAAAATCTACTGTTGTTTTTATTCGCTTCTATTAAAGTTGAATAGTATTGAGTTCGAGCCCCGCGAAGGGCCTTCTTGTAGTTTCGGAGACCTGCTTTCCACTCCCTGTGGACAGGCTCCGAGTGGGAGTGGCCTCTCCAATTTTCTGACGTCTTGTTTTAAAGTGTGGAGTTGAACACTGTACCAGGGCGACGATGATCTAATCCTAATGGTTTTCTGTTTTAAAGGAGCTGCTGCATTTAATGCAGATTTTAAAGACTCCATAGTGTTGTCCACCGTTTGGTCAATGACTGAGGGACTGCAGCTGCTGTGAACAGGTTCACCTGCAGCAGTATTCAACATAGGCTGTATTAGTTCTTTGAACCTTGTGATAGATTTATCATTTAAGGTTCTTTTCATTATGGTTTTATCTTGCGGGACAGGAAAGTCCTCCAAAGCGAGATCAAACGTGATCAAGAAATGGTCAGACAGCAACGAGCTTTGACGCTGGATGTCAACATTGGAGACATCACAGCCGTAGGTCAGGACAAGGTCCAAGGTGTGGTTATGAATGTGAGTAGGTTCCTCAACATTCTGAGTAAAACCAACACCATCTAGTACGGCGCTGAAAGCTTTGTTTAAGCTGTCAGTGCTGTCGTCCACATGTATATTGAAGTCTCCAGCTATAACTATGTTTTCCCATTCCAAAACTAGGTTTGAAATGAAGTCAGGTCTCTGCACTGGCTTCCTGTGGCTCAGAGAATAGACTTTAAAACAGCTTTGCTTGTTACAAGTCTCTCCATGGCCTCGCACCAAAATATATTAGTGACATGTTAGTCCCATATGAACCAGCCCGGACTCTGAGGAGCACAGGGACTGGACTCCTGCTGGGACTCTGAGGAGCACAGGGACTGGACTCCTGTTAGTGCCCAGAGTCAGGACTAAACATGGGGAGGCTGCTTTTCAGATTCATGCTGCTAAAATCTGGAACATTCTTCCTGAAGATGTGAGACAGGCCTCCTCTCTGACTATGTTTAAAACCAAGTTAAAAACTGTGCTGTTTAGCTGTGCATACAACTGAGGGATTTTATATTTTTATCTTTCTTTTTAATGTTCTGTGATTATTTATGATTTTAATGCTATCGTGTTTCAGCACTTTGAGTTGCCTTGTGTATGAATTGTGCTATACAAATAAACTTGCCTTGCCTTGCCTCTGAGCCACAAACAAAACAACAACAGAGAGAAAAGAGAGAGGAGAGGCTCATTTCTCCGCCATCTTGGATCTCTCCTGTTTCCTCAACTTTAAAGTTTACTTGTGGCGAGACAGATCCATCCTGGGATTTCCCGCTCGTGAGCTGGTTCTATAAAGCCAGAGCTGGTCCCCAGCCTCAGCCTCAGTCTCCGCTCCGACTGCTGCTGTTTGTGCCCTTGAGCCTCACACCCTCAGCCTCAAATCTCCAATGAGTAACAGGAGCCAGGGCCTGTCTCTCCTGCTTCCTCCCACTAGTTTTGGCAACGTGTTGATGATTGTCTTTAGCGTCCTTCTCCCCGCCGTCATAATCTTCCTGAACGTGTCCGTGGGTCTGGCCATCCTCCTGAACCGGGCCTTGCGTAACGAGAGCCGCTTCTTGTACATGCTGAGCACCTGTGTGAGCGACGTCTGCACAGGGGCGTCGTACTACTACGTGGGACTTCTCGACGTCAGAGACTTCCCTGATTCCCCGACGCACTCTCTCTACGTGGCCCCTACGTTTTTAGGTCTGTCCGTCATGGCCATCATGGCAGCTCAGGCCGACCGGTACCACGCCGTCGTCTCTCCTTTCAAATACTCCCAGAGAATAACGCGGAACAGGACGATTCTTATCATCGCTTCCTACTGGGTTTACGCCTTCTTTATCGTCGGCGTGCACAATCTGGTCACGTTAGAGATAGCCAGACGCGTCACCAATGTGGGCTCGTTTGTGGCCAATGTCCTGACGGTGATAATCATGATCGGAATGAACGTCCGGTTGTTTTTTATCGCGAAGCTTCAGCTGCACAGACTACCCCCGTCTGAGGAGAGAGACACCAAGCTGTCCTCTGTGTATCTGATTCTGGTGGTGGTGGCTTTCTTCTTGGTCGCGTGGGCGCCGCTCTTGATCCATAGCGTGGCCTGTAATTTGGCAGGCTACACGTGTTACCTGTTCCGGAACGAGGGCACGGACCCCATGCGCATTTTGCCTCGATTGAACTCAGCGCTGACTCCTGTGTTGTACATGAGAGGCTGTGCGGCTATCAGGGACACGGTGATCTCCCGGGTCTGGAGACACGGCTGTGGGAGGAGGAGAGTGGGCCAGACACTTTAAAATCAAGTCAAATCTAAGTTGTTGCAATTTGATTTCCTGTTTTTGTATTTCTTTTCCATATACACTGCAAAAAATGCCAAAATATATGGTCATAAATGCCTGAATCAAGGGTTTTTATCTTAAAATGGGTGCATTCTGACTGTGTTAAAACAAGATTTGCCAATGGGACAAACCGTTTAGTCTTATTTCTCATTCCAAGGGTGACATTTCTTACATTTTCCTGTATCTTTTCATAACAAGACATATTTTCTTGTCAAAATGTGCTGAAATGAAGATAAAAACTCTTGATTCAAGCATTTATTACCTTATTTTTTGTTGGTTTTTGCAGTGTAACCAGGGACTTCAGATGGAAATGTACTGTGTGTCTATAATCTGTCTTTGAGCTTAATGTTGTTGTGCACTGTCCCTTTCAAATAACGACTAAAGTAAACAGTCTTCCTGCAAATGTGAGACAAGTTTCTTCTCTGACAATGTCCAAATCCAGGTTTATAAACTGTTCAGCTACGCAAAAACTGAAGGATTATATTCTTGCTCTTTTGAATGTATGATTATTTTTGTGTGCTATACAACTAACCCTGCCTTAATGTCTTGCCTAAACTAAATTAAACTAAACTAAACTAAACTTGCCTAATTTCAACAGCGCAGTTCATACAGAATGAAACTCCAAGGGCTTCACATTGACAACAATAACAGTAAAATGAAAGTGAATGTAAACACTGTAAAACACATACAAAAGGCAAATTAAAAAACAACACTTGAGGATCCCTGACTGTAGTGTTTCTCAACCTGTGGTCCGTGGCAGGTTAGTGAGGCTCGAGATGTTGCTTGATCAGGTCGGGGCCGAAAAAACATTAGAAGAGATTTCCTTTTGTTACAACAGTTTTTTTACATTATGAAGATTTTCTGACGTGACTTTAATGTGACATGAGATACACTGTTCTTTTCTGGTTGATTTTTCTGAAAACAATATGTGTTTATTGTTTAGATTGAACCAAAACTAGATCTAATAAAAAGTTTAACACATTTTGTATTGAACTATTTAACTTCTAATGATGTGTTATTGGATTAAAATAGATAGAAAGATTGATAGATAGATAGATACTTTATTGATTCCCGTCAGAGAAATTCAGGTGTCCAGTAGCAGCAAAAATAAAATGTATCATTCTATAAAGCTAACAATAGTAATAATCAGCAACAGCCCTTCAGGTCACAACAGCAGAGGTGGAGTAGCCGTTTGGTTCTGACCATTTTCTCTGCTCTGGTCCAAAGTAAAAGGCTAAATGGTTCATCTGCTCTGGTCTGGACCAGTGTAAAACCATGAACACTGTACTGCAGCAACATCTCAGGTAGAAAAAAGTCCGAAAAACAAAACATTTTAGGCACAAAACAACAACTGTTTCAGAGCTACTTCGGACCTGCCGCCGTTTTCCAGCACATTCAAAAGTAAATATGTAAAATATCAACAACAGCGTTAGACTATATTAAATTTGGTTGTTTTCCGGATAAAATAGATGATGTACAGTATAACCTTCGCCCATTGCCATTGTCATTCATTTAATAATACAAATTTCAGAGGCCATTAAAAATTGTCTTGCGGGCCGGGCCTTGACTTTGACACTAATGCTGCATATATATAAACAATATCCACTCATGGGTCTAAATCATGTGAAAAATAAAGAATATGAGTGATTCAGTTTATTGCACGTGTTTGATTTTCTATATAAAATGACTTCAGTTGTTAATAAAGTAAATTTTTGAATCTGTTTCAACTGTACAGCTGTGCCGTGGCTCAAACAGGACGTGGAATACTGAGAGCTTGTGATACTGAATAAATTATGCAATAATGCAAGATAATGCTCGTTTTTGTGTTTTTCATCAATAATTGTTAATTCACAGAGCGCCACAGTCTATACAAGGCACAGAGCATCAAACAAACAAAACACAATGGAACCCGCACAGGTAATTAAAAACAGTAGTAGTGTAGAAAGCTGAGAGGCCTTTAGCAAATGAGTTACTTTTGTTTCTGTGCAACTTCAGAAGCTTGGACTCAAAAAAACAGGTCAAAACACACACAGCTCTCCTCTGTGTGTGTTTTGACCTGTTTTTTGAGTCCAAGCTTCTGAGGTGAGGAAGGAGAGAGAGTTCCAGAGAGAGTTCCAGAGAGATGGCGGATGCTCGGTCCCCAAAGGTCCGGGGCTTGGAGTTGACAGTGAGTGAGGGGATTAGAGTCTGCAGAGGGGAGTCACCGGGAGGGACTGCAGAAGCTCAAGTATAACGTGGAAAATCTGAAGCAGCTGATGAGACAGAACGTCCACAAGACAAGACATGACATTGGATCCATGAGAACAAGATAAGATTTGGAATAAGTTGTTCCTTTGTCTCTGTACCGATGATCCAGATTTAACCCTTTAATGTTCACTGCTTGAAGAAACAAATGTGTTTTTTTCCTTTTTTGGATTGCGAATTATGTTGTTGTTTGTTTTAACCCCTAGTGTCTAAAACCAAGTGAGATGTCCCAAAGATGTAGATTTCAGTTGCAAGCATAAGTAGATGTAGTAACACAACATGTTATCTGCATAATGGCAGAGGGAACCATGAAATGCAAATCGTCAAGAAAAGTTTTTTGTTGAAAGCAATATTTAGCAGAATTGTCACCACATTCATGACATGCATTATCTATGACTGGGACAACGGCTTCTAAAAGCTACAGCTAAAAACATACATAACATAGACGCCAAACACAGTGTTTTGTTCCAGTTCTATTTAAAAACACTGGAATAGAATCTCACCAGATCATTTTCCACATGTGCACAAACTTGAAGGATTTTAATCTTGTCCCTTCACAAATACAGAGTTAAGATAAGACAAGCTGTGATGATCTTGCAATGAAGAAATGTACATGTCAGATTTGACATAGAGGACTGGTGCTTTGTGAATTGGATGGCTGCTCAGAATGCCACCCCCCTGACCTGGAATGGATGAATAAAGGGATGAAAATGAAATGAAAAAAAAAAGAACAAGAAATTTGGCATAGAGAGGATCACTCAGAGTGCTGTTACATTAGCAATATTACAATGTCACTGTTTCCGTCTAGAGAAACTCAAACAGTCACTAAAAGGAATTAGAAATGAAAATTGAATTCTCAAGGCAAAACCTCATATATAAAAAAAAAAAAAAATGTCAGCATATTTAAATATATACAACAATTAGAACAAACAGCAGAATATCAGGTCAATCAAGTCATCATCTAATCCACAGCTTGTTTTATTGATATTATATTTAGTGTTATTTATATAATTGGTCCACCTGCAGGTGGATCACTGACTTCCTGACGGACAGGAAGCAGCGAGTGCGTCTGGGGAAGAATGTCTCGGACTCTCGGATTATAAATACAGGAGCCCCACAGGGCTGTGTTCTTTCTCCCCTGCTCTTCTCTCTGTACACCAACCACTGCACCTCCAGCCACGACTCCGTGAAGCTGATCAAGTTTGCGGACGACACCACCCTCATTGGACTCATCTCCAACAACGATGAGTCTGCCTACAGGAGGGAGGTGGACCGGCTGGTGTCCTGGTGCAGTGGTAACAACCTGGAGCTGAACGCCCAGAAGACATGAGGAGATGATTGTGGACTTCAGGAAGAGCACTGTCCCCCCACCCCCACCCTCCGTGATGGACTCCCCCATCACCTCTGTGGAGTCCTATCGTTTCCTGGGCACCACCATCACCAGGACCTCAAGTGGGAGCCGACCATCAGCTCCCTCATCAAGAAGGCCCAGCAGAGGATGTACTTCCTGCGGCAGCTCAGGAAAGCCAAGCTGTCTGCACAGATGTTGGTGCAGTTCTACACGGCCATCATCGAGTCCATCATCACCTCCTCTATCACCTCCACCGTCACCGTGTGGTTCGCTGGAGCCACAGTCAGGGACAAACAGAGACTACAGCGCATTGTGCGCTCTACAGAGGAAGTGATCGGCCGCAGCCTTCCATCGCTGGTCGTATCACAGCTATATTGCATATTTTATATAGTATTTGTAATCGTAATAATTCTATTTTATTATTCAGTTGGTAGAGCATTGGCCTTTGGGCCTGAAGGTCGTGGGTTCGAGCCCACCGTAAGACCTACTTCACGACTCCCGCTGATGACTGCTGTCGTTGTGTCCTTGGGCAAGACACTTAACTCCACTTTGCCTGAAGCCCCCACTGAAAGATCTCAGCTCCTGTGGACTCACCACCTGCAGGAGGATCAGTGAGGGGCTGGTGCTGAGTGTACTGGGTGCAGCTCTGACTGCCACCCCCCCGACCCAGAAATGGATTAAGGGGAAAAAAATGGATGGATGGATAATTCTATTTGAACTTTTATACCTTAGAAGTGTATGCTGATTTTTATTATGCCTTACTCTATTCCCTATTCTTTACTTCTCTTTTCTGACTGATGCACTGAGCCGAAAGCAATTTCCTAGTCTGGGGACACACTGGGAACACACTGGGGACACACTGGGGACACACTGGGAACACACTGGGTACACACTGGGTACACACTGGGGACACACTGGGGACACACTGGGTACACACTGGGTACACACTGGGGACACACTGGGGACACACTGGGAACACACTGGGGACACACTGGGTACACACTGGGTACACACTGGGTACACACTGGGTACACACTCGGGACACACTGGGGACACACTGGGTACACACTGGGTACTTTTTACCGAACAGGAAATGTGCAAACAAGAATGTGAGTTTAGTAAAGTTTATCTTATCTTAGCTGCCGATACAATATCCCTGTTTCAATCGGAGACTAAAAACAGACACAGAAATTAAAATTAAAAATCAAAATGAGATAAATTAGAATCTGATTTATTGTTTGGCAAGTCATCTGTCGCTACATACAGTAAAGTAGCACATGAGACTCTGCAGAAGGACATTTATTGGATGCCATGTGTGAAATGTGGTTACGTTTTGGTGCAGAGACCCCGGCAGAGCGCGGTG